ATGTAGCTCCATGGTAGAGTACTTGCCTAGCGTGTGCAAGGTCCTGGTCTCTATAGTACTGGAAAAAGTGAAAACAGCTTGTACGATGCATAACTTTGAAATATTTAGTTGTAGGGTAGGTGGCCTCCCACTGTCCTCTTGCTGCGGGCCTTGCAAGTATTCTGAGCAGACTGAGGTGTGTGACCATGGCAGAAGAAACACAGAAAGCATCTGAAGTAGCTGCCTCCAGGGAGGGAGAGGGAGGGAAGGATAGGAGAAAGAGGGTGGTGGTGCTGGTTAGAGCCTCTGTGAACTCCATTCTCTTTGCCGTGCATGCTCTCCTATGATAAAACTCAGAAAAACTAGTCAAGCTCCCATCTACGTCCTGGGGTCCTCCTGACCCTCACCTCCCACCTCTCTTCTCTGAGCCTCTACAACCCCAGCTGTACAGCAGGCTTTTCCTGCCCCGGGCTGCCCTCCATGAGACCTCTGCAGCCAGTGCCACCTCCCCAGGCCACCCGGTCACCTGGCTTCTTCTCTCTGCAAGGTTCCCCTGGGTTGAGATCAGCCCTGCCCTCCCCATGACTGGTGGTCTCTGCCAGAGCCCCCCGTCTCCAGCTTGGCGCTCCTGGCTGCAGCCTGGGTCTGGGGGCTGAAGGTGAGGTGGGAGGCAGCGTTGCACATGGACAGTGCTGCACCCGGACCTGTTAATGAGAAGCAGGTGTCTCTATACCACAGCCCTGCTGTCAGCGAGTGGCTGGCCTTCTTCTGCTGTCCTGGGTAAGGCCTTTCCCATCACAGCTCTCCCTATGTTTCAGTCCCCCCTCCCCATTCTCTTCCAGTTTCTTCTTCCTCTCCCCACCCCAACCCTCCAGCTCTGCCCACTGCTGGCCTTTTGCTTCTCACCCATTCCACACACTTCCTCATCCACAGGTTCAACATCCCCTCCTCCCCAGGCCAAGAGGACGGAGCGGGCAGTGATGCCACAAGCAGCTGGGGGCCAACATCATTCTTTGGTCACTTAACAACTGTGTATTAAACATCCACCAAATGGCAGGCCCTTCACCAGAGTCAGGCCCCTGCCTCACATTTAGATTGGGGAAACAGGTCAGAAACACACTTATATGTCAGGAGAAGGATTAGGGAGAAAGATAGACAGATAAGGCAGAGTGACAAAAACCATTTGTACAGGCTGGCCCTGTTGCCAATCAGCCTGGGGTTTTTTTCAAAACAGCTCAATTCAGATGGAAATCATGACTCAACAAAGTCACCTAGACAATCTGGGTAGCAATAGAGGACACAGCTGGCTGCCATCGTCCTGTGCCAGCTTGTGCTGGACACTTTAGGTCAACTCTGCCAGGTGATGGTCTCTGAGTGCTTCAGGGCTAACCGCCCCTAGGTGTTTGTTGCCCTTTCTTTTGAACTGACCATTCAGTTCACACTACTTGGATAAGAATCCCAAGTAGATTTACAGGACTTTTGGAGCCCACACTACCTGAAAAAGAAATCAAGAGCAGGTTTACAAGACCACCAAAATCTTGTAACAGAGCCCATGGTACAGTGCAGTAGATTCAGCACACTGGAGGGAGACTAAGCCAACAGTGTGGGGAGTGCTGCTTATATAGCAGCTGCAGGCTTGTGATTGGTCCAGGTGAACTGCAGGCCTGTGATTGGTGCAGGACTCCAGGACATCCTGTGAGGAACCAGGGAATCTTCTGGAAGGCTGGATGTGGGGGTGGGGAATGTTAACAATGGGCCCAGATCTTCCTTTCTCCACCTCCCTCCACCCCTGCTGCCAGTGATTCTGTTTCCCCTCCTCTTTCTTCTAGGTCTCTCTCCACTTCTGTCTCTGCCAGGCTCTGTGCCTTTCCTCCATTTTCTCTTCAAGATCTTTTGTTAACTTTGCCTTCCAGGAAAAGACGACATGGCAGCCAGCAGCCCTGAGCCCCTCTGGGGTGGAAGTGTCCTGGCAGGGCAGTGGCAGCTGGCAGAGAGTGCAAGGAAGGCCATATCCCCTGCGGGGGTGACCAGCTGTCTCAGTCTGCCCAGGACAGTCCAGATGTCAGCACCAAAAGCCATAGGGCCACGCAAACCAGGCGTTGGCTTGCCACCCTGCCAGCTGCCCAAGGACCCAGAAGCAGGGCCAGGAAGCCCACAGAAAGTGGATGGGAGAGGACGGGGATCTGGGTACCTGGCTGTCCCCTAGTCCCCTCAGTTGTGTCTCATGGGCTGAGGACACAAAGGGGAAAGTGGAGGAGCTGCCCAGGAGGTAACAAGTCCCTGTCCTTGTCCCATTGTGAGACCCCTTGGGGATGGATGAGGTCCACTTGACCCTGGTGACCCTTGCCTCACTGTCCTTCCTGGTGGCAATGATGGGTCACCCTACAGGCAGTGGCAGGCCTTGGGCAAACAGGAACCACCACCACCAGTGACTGACACATGCTGCTCGCTTCCACCCGTGCAGGATGGCTGGTCCTTGTCGCTTCTCCTGCCTTGGACCTTGGCTGTTCCAAGGTAGGATTCTGAGGCTGCGCTGGTGTGTGGCTGCCATCCAGGGGTGCAAGGACAGGACACGAGGGAGCCAGGGATCCTTCGCCCAGGGACAGTTGGTGACACATTCCCCGACACAGCAGAGTCTGGCATGGCATGTGACTTCTCTAAATGCCCTTGTGACCTTGGGCATGTCCCATCCCCATCCGTGCCACAGGTGGGAGGTAAGCACTTTCCTTTGTGCTGCCGAATGACCATCCACCTGGCCTACTTATTCCATCGAGAACACTTACAGAGTCTCTTCTCTGTGCCAGAGATCGACAGGACAAGGCCCCTGCCCTCCCCACAAATGGGTCACACATTCAACAGGAAAGCATAAGCCACTGCCAATGTTAGGGGAGGGCAAAGAAGGGAATCCAGGAGGTCTGTGCGAGCCACTGGGTGTCTCTGACTGGCTCCTCAGAGGAGGCAATTTCAGTGGACATGCCTGATGCAAAACCTCCTGTGCCAGGAAGCCCCCCGATTGACCCTGATGTCACCAATTCTGTCCTCTGCTCTGTTGAACCCTGGATATATGTACTTCCAGCCTCTGGTCGAGCCTCCCAGTGCAGGGCTTTCCCAGAAACTTGCTGGCAGGGCCAGGGATTTAGCTCAGTGGCACGGTGCCTGCCTCGAAAATGCAAGGTCCTGAGTTTGATCCCGGTTCGGGGGGTGGGGGGGCACAAAAACTTGCTGGCACAGTGGGATGTGGCAAGAGAAGGCTTCCTCCACAGGGCAAGCAGTCTGAATTAGACGCTAATCATAGCCTCGGGCTGTGGCCCAGCATCTGCCGGCAGAACGGTAAGATTTCTGCAGCCATGCTTGGTGACAGGGAAGGGACAGGAGGGGCTGGGCAGGGTTTCTCATGCTTTCAGCCAAAGACAACACCATTAGTCTTTGGCCTTGCCAAGAGGTAAGTTGAGTCATGAGCAGAATTCAGCAGCTTAACAAACAGAAGACTAGGACCCTTGGGTGAGGGCTACCGAGGAGACATGAACATGTTCACCATGGTTGGCAGGGTCATCCAGCCTGGGGCTCCCTCAGTTTTTAGTTTCTCCTTCAGCTTATTTGGGGCTTTTTTTTTTCTTTTTCTTTTTCAGTGTACTGGGTATTGAACCTAGGGCCTTTGCGCTGAACTTTTATTTTTCATTTTGAGACAGGGTCTCAAGAAGTCATTAAGTTGCCCAGGCAGTGTTGACTTCCCATCCTCTTACTTCAGCCTCCCAGAGTGCATGGGTTACAGGCATGCACCACCATGGCAAGCTGTTTTGGGCCTCTTTGTTCCTCCATCCCTGTTGTCCTGTGCCCTCTTGTTTGGGAAAAACTGTCACCTATGCTCCCGCTGTTGGTATACACCCCTAACCCAGGGGAACTGTGGGCCCAGAGAGGCCAGCAGGATTTCATGCTGTGTCCGAGGACGTTCCGAGCAAGGCCTCATGCCTGCTGCCAGCTGGCCCAGTGGGCCTCCTTAAACTGAGCTGGGGACACTGGTGCCCCCAGGCTCCTGCCCAGGCATTTGGTCAGGGGTTCTGAGCCAGCTTTCTGGGGCTTCTGTCTTCCCTCCTCCCAGCTCTATGGGGCCCAGCTCCGCCTGGACAGAATGTGTGGCTGGTTGTATTTTCTTAGCATAGCTTGCCCAGTACTTTGGCTTCTTGCCCAGAGGCTGGGGCCTGGCAGCTGCTTCATACACTCCAGCATTCTCAGCTTTTCGTGGAGACAACACACACATACATATGTGCACACACACACATGCACACACACAAACACAGACACACAGAGCACCACACAAACACATACAACACAAACACACACTCTCTTCCACACACACACTCACATGTACAACACGGACGAACACACAAACACACACAGAAGACACAGCTACACACAGAGGGTCACATTCACCCCTAAACACACACATCCCCACAACTTCAACTTCCAACCTACAAATTCTCTCACACACACAGTCTCCTACCTGCATCCGCACTAACACACACACACACACACACACACGCATCCACACACTCATACAATACACACACACACACACAAACCCCCGCACAGCTGCAGGGAGGGAGAGCAGCTCCTTTCTCCCTTTTGGCAGGGAGGGTAGAAGCTTCCCACTTTCCATGAGATCCAATTTCTTACCCTCCCCTCAAAACCCTCAGCCTCCCTCTCCTCTTGGATCCTGTCCAGGCAGTGCTATGTCTTTAAGGAAGTTGACGTTGGAGAGGAGAGAGAGAGAGAGAGAGAGAGAGAGAGAGAGAGAGAGAGAGAACACAACCCTAAAATATTTGCCCTCTTCCCCTCCAGTTAAGTTTCTGGTGTCACTTAGGAAACAGAGCCTCAGTCCTGTGTGCTCTTCGAGGAGGAGAGCGTGTGGGCTCGGGCTTGGATTCCCTCCTGCACTCCCCACATCCCGGGCTCCTGTCCTGCTGGGGACACAAATCGTCCCTTCCCTCAGCACCCAGCCCACCCCAAGGGGCCGTGCCAACCCTCGGCTAACTCAGTCCTTTGTTGCTTTCTGGTTCTGTCTCAGAAGAGCCTCGCCCGAAGAGGGAGAGTGGTTTGAAGGTAAGCTGGGGAGGAGGGTGCCAGCCAGAGGGTGGAGGCAGTGGCCCGTGGGACTCAGGGCCTTTCCCTTTGGCACCTCCGAGGTGCTGGGGATAGTCCCTTGCTGGGAGCCATCCTGGGAGTGGCTGCTTCTTGAACGACCCAGACCTCCAAGCTCCCAGCTGTATTTGGGCCTCACTTCGGGCCTCGCCCAAGTCAGCCCAGAGGTCCAGGCAGGGTTTATTTAGGCAGCTGCCTGGCGCAGTTGGAACCAAACGGGCCTGGGTGTGATTCCACAGAAAGGGCTTGGTGTCTGCTGTGGTCACGGCAGGAAGCGTGGGGGTGGTATGCACTGCACAAGGGGCCTGGTGTGGGCCGGGGCAGAGTGTACCTATGGGGGGCTCCAGTGGGAGGGACCGTGTCCAGGACGTGGGAGGGCAGGAGGAAGGCTCTGCCATGTACTGGGGGAGGGGGCGGCTGGAGAACAGATTTCAAGTCATCAAGTCAGCCAGGAGCGGCCGGCCGAGGCAGGGAGAGCTCTGTGCAGAGAAGCTGGGGTCCTCTTCCGTCCCGTCTCCCGCCACCCTGCCTGGCTGTGCAACCTCGGCAAGTCTGGGCCCTTCTGCGGCCCTCAGCTTCGCCTTCTGCAGAGGATGGGGTCTGGTGGTTTAGAGGATGCTAGGCTTCCCTTTCGTTTTCTGGGACCGGGCCTACCCTCACTGGGAAGAGCTTGGGCCGGGACCCGGGGCGGGATGGGCCTCAGGGCCAGGTCCTGGGGTCGTGAGGGTGACACACACTCCTCCACAGGAGGGATGATGCCGGGGCTGCGCCTGCTGTGCTGGGCGCTGCTCCTGGGCCTGGCCCAAGGCTGTCCTGAGCCCTGCGACTGTGGTGAGAAGTATGGCTTCCAGATCGCCGACTGCGCCTACCGTGACCTGGAAGCTGTGCCGCCTGGCTTCCCAGCCAACGTGACCACACTGAGCCTATCAGCCAACCGGCTACCAGGGCTGCCCACGCGTGCCTTCCGGGAGGTGCCACTGCTGCAGTCGCTGTGGCTGGCCCACAATGAGATCCGCAAGGTGGCTGAAGGCGCCCTAGCCTCACTGGGCCACCTCAAGAGCCTGGACCTCAGCCACAACCTCATCTCAGACTTCGCCTGGCGTGACCTGCACAACCTCAGTGCCCTGCAGCTCCTCAAGATGGACAGTAATGAGCTGACCTTCATCCCGCGCGACGCCTTCCGCAGCCTGCGCGCCCTGCGCTCCCTGCAGCTCAACCACAACCGCCTGCACACGCTGGCTGAGGGCACCTTTGCACCACTCACAGCGCTGTCCCACCTGCAGATCAATGACAACCCCTTCGACTGCAACTGCGGCCTCGTGTGGCTCAAGACATGGGCGCTGGCCACGGCCGTGTCCATCCCGGAGCAGGACAATGTGGCCTGCACGTCTCCTCACGTGCTTAAGGGCACCCCACTGAGCCGCCTGCCACCTCTGCCCTGCTCGGCGCCCTCTGTGCAGCTCAGCTACCAGCCCAGCCAGGATGGCGCTGAGCTGCGGCCCGGCTTCGTGCTGGCGCTGCACTGCAACGTGGACGGGCAGCCGGCCCCACAGCTGCACTGGCACATCCAGACCCCTGGCGGCACTGTGGAGATCGCCAGTCCCAATGTGGGTGCTGACGGCCACATCCTGCCTGGAGCCCCAGCAGTGCCTGGTGGCCGGCCACGCTTTCAGGCCTTTGCCAATGGCAGCCTGCTCATCCCTGACTTTGGCAAGCTGGAGGAGGGCACCTATAGCTGCCTGGCCACCAATGAGCTGGGTGGTGCAGAGAGCTCAGTAAATGTGGCACTGGCCACCACGGGCGAGGGTGGTGAGGATGCACTGGGGCGCAGGTTCCATGGCAAGGCAGTGGAGGGCAAAGGCTGCTACACGGTTGATAACGAGGTGCAACCGTCTGGGCCCGAGGACAATGTGGTCATCATTTACCTCAGCCGTGCTGGGAGCTCTGAGGCGGCTGTGGTGGGAGAAGGGGCCTCGGGGCAGCAGTGCCTCGGCCTGGTCCTGGTCCTGGCCCAGAGTCTGTTCCTCCTCAGCATCCCCTTCTAGGCGAGCTCTGGTCTGCCCTGAAGCTGGCACCGGCCCTGCCTATGTGCCTCATAAATGCCAGGGGCTCAGAGTTGGTGACTTCACATTCTCCTACCTCCCTTCTAATCTCTTCTGGGCACTCAACACCCCAGCTCCCAGACGTTCTCAAGGTGAGGGGCTAGTGGAGAGCTGGGTCCCAGCACCATCTTGGTGCCCATTGCTGCTAACAGAGTCACCCGTGACCCCAGGGCTAGCATGCTCACAGGGCGATGCCAAGCCGCTGAAGTCCCAGGTAACTGACAGTGAGGGTCACGTGGTGGGGGCTGGACTACCAGGGCAGAGCTGGGAGCAGGCAAAGGGAGAGGAGGGTGAAGAGAAGGCAGGGGTGGTGGCTCAGCGAGCCCTGTGCTCCCCTGTCCCCTGCTGTTCTCTCCACCACAGGCTCCAGAGCTCTTCTGCCTCCTCCCAGACAGGCCTGGTCTCCCTCTCCTGCCACCTCCCTCCCAGCCTGTGCCTTCTGCCCTGGACGCCTGCCCGCCCTTTCTTCCCTCCTGTTTACATCTGTAGCCCGTGCCTGCAAAGGGGCTGGCCTGGGGCAGCAGAGAATAAACAGCATTTCTCACGCTCCTCTGTGTCTGCTTGGAGTTGCGCCTGGACAGAGGAGCCCCAAACAAGGGACAGGATCTAGACCTGGAGAGTCACAGCTGTCGCAGTTGTCAGAGGACCAGCAGGCAGGAGCCTGGCAACCATTACCAGAGCCCTTTGGGGTCCCCAGGGACACAGAGCCATGTTTGATGCCAGCTGTGGCCCCAGAAGCCTAGGGTGGCAGCTGTGTTTTGGGGGACTGACCTCTCCCCACCTCCAGGTCCAGTGCAGGGCCTCCCCCACCCCCATCCTCCATCAACGTGCACCTCGGGCTGAGCCAGCACTGGGGGTCCAGGATGACCTCACATCTGCAGCAAGACAGAGCTAGCTCTCGCACGCTGTGCTGCCTCCGGTAAGTCACTGCCTGTCTCTGGGCTGGAGCTGGCTCAGAAATCAAATGACAGGGTGAGGCAGGGTTCAGAGTGGGGATGGATCCCATGGACCCTGAGGTCTCTGGCTCCTGGAGGAGGAGGGGAACCCAGTCTGAGTCAGGGTGGCAGGGGACTTCACGCCCTGGTGAACTAGTGACTCCGCTACTCTGGGGTGAAGCCTGAAGCCCCAGACAGCCAGCTCAGCCCCTCTGCTGGCCCCTACCACGGTGCCTTCCCATAATGCTCAGCAAACCACACCCTCCACCATGCTTCAGTGACACTGTTCCCTCAGCCTGTGCGCCCTTTCCCTGTTCCTCCTTTGGTGGAGTCAGGATGACCTCTTCCAGGAAGCCCTCCAGGATGAGCCCTGGGCCCTGTGTGGACCAGGCTCCCGCAGCCCCAGGGGTCCTGTAACCCAAACTTTTCACACTCCATTGCCTGTGTCCTCAGCAAGGGCACAGGGCGAGTCTGCACCCCCCTCCCATGACCCTGTCAGTTGCCAGGAAACGCTGTCAACTGACACAGATCTGTGCAGGGCTGCCCTTGCCCTGTGGCTCCAGCCCCAGGGAGCCAAAGCTACATCTCTGTTTTTCACAGGTCCCCAGTTCCCCCAACCCTGGCAGAGGAGGGACCCTAGTGGGTCTCAACCCATCCCCTCTGCACATTAGGTCTTTGGCCATTAGGATGCCACCTCCCTGCCCCAGATGGGCACCCAGCCCCACCCATTCAGCCCTTAACAGCCACCTGCTCAGGAGTGGCATCGCAGGGTCTCCCACCTCCATCACCCTAAGGACACAGCTGGGGCCCTCTCGGCCACCCCAGCCCACAGGAGCCCCTTGCAGTCATGCGGATTTGCTGCAAGTGGGCATCCCCATGCCTCCCCATAAGCAGCACAGTTTCTGGGGGACAGATTTATTACCAGGAGCACACTCGGCCCTTTCATCACCCATAAGGCAAAGAAACTACAAATGCCTGGCTCTCGGGAGGGGCCAGTCAGCTCCGAGCCTGGTTCAAGTTGTGATTTGCTGCTGGAGCTGGAGCCCGGGTCTTCCTTCTGGGCTGCCTTGGGGACCCAAGGAGAAGAGCTACCAGCCACCCAGGACAAGAGGGGAGGGCTAGGCTGGGGTGGGGAAGCAGAAGGGGGAGGCCCAGGCTGAGTCAGGCTGGAGGTTTAGGGCCTGAGCTGTCCTGACCCTGATCACTGGCCCTGTCAGGGGGCCTCAGGGGTTCCTGCAAGGCTGGTGGCCCAGCCAGGCAGGGGAGACAGGCATGTGGCCCCCTTGCTCCACTGGGTCCTGGACCAAAACTGAGCACCAGACACTGCCTCCAAGCCCAGGTTGGTGCTCCTAGGCCATCTGACCTTAGCCAACCCAGTCCCTAGCTGGTCTCAAGACCCATGATCCCCAGGCCAGGATATGCTGGCCCAGTTGCTCAAACAGAGGGGCTGCCCACCTGGGGTGGAGCAGGAGAGCTGGGGAGGTGCAGGGTCAGGTGGGCCTCAGGCCTGGGTGCCATTGGCCCGGGCCCCAGCCAGGGCTGCCTTCCGAGCGGCCTTCAGGGGAGGGTTATGCAGCAGTGTGTAGGCCACACCCCAGCGGGCCCAGCTGCGGCCTGCACGGAGCCCTGCTGCCTTGGCCACAGGGTCCTTTGTCTGTAGCAACTGCATCCCTGAGAGGAAAAGACCTTCTGTTAGTCGCTTAGCAAACACCCTGCTAAGCCTCCTCAGTCCAGACTTGGGCAGAGTCTAAAAGTTCTCACACAAGCCAGGAATTTAGCTCAGTGGTTCCACTGCCTGCCCTGCAAGTGCAAGGTCCCGAGTTCTATCCCCGGTACCAAAAAAAAAGTTCTCACACAGTCAGGGCAGGGAGCCTGGGCTCCAGCTACAGGCCCATAGAGGCCCATCCAGGGAGGGGGTCTCTGGAGGAATGAGCTGGCTTAGTGTCTCCTCCTGCTGCCTATATCCCGGGCAGTGGGGGACGAGGAGGGCACATTCCCCAGGGGGAAGTGGTGATGGAAGAATCTCCAACAAGGCAGCCATTCTGTTCTCGGGCCAGAAGGGACACACCTGTACCCCCTTCCCAGAAGAGGCCAGCGAGGTTGGATTGCCCAACTCAGGGAGACCACACACCTTCTTCTTCCTGCCCCAGTCTGAGGCAGTTCTGGGCAGCTGCTGGGGACTGGGCCCGGGCCCGGGGTCTCTGCACTTCCAGGAGCAGGGCACAGAAGGCTGTCATGGCTGGATGCGACTCACTGGCCTCCAGCTTCAGGAAGTTTCGGTATGTGCGGTAGCCTGCAGCAGAGCAGGGGTGACCGTGCTGGGGCAGGAGTGGCACAGACGCCCCAACACACACACGGGGAGTATGTGTGCACCCCTGTCTCCAAGCATGTAGGCACGCCAGGCATGTGGCACATACACTGCACATGGAGCACACCTGCTGGAGTACACCATACCTGCAGTTTGCCTGTTGCAAAGCGGCCACAGACACCTTGATAGGCACGACAGTTCTCAGGTTAGAGCAACCTCCCCCGTATCCCTGCCCTGGGACCTTACCAGGGTCCAGACTGGCAGCTCTTGGGGGCAGCAAGCTGAGGTCCATCTGGCCGAGGTGGACAATGTTGTAGATGGCAGAGAGCAGCACTCTCCAGGTGGCCACCATGGCACCCACCAGCACGTTGATGGGGAAGAGAAGAAAGGTGACCGCATAGAGCACTCGCCTGGGGGCAGGTAGAGGAGGCTGAGGCAGGCCACTCCCAACCCCTTCCCCAGGGCCAGCATGAGAACCGGGTGCCCAAGTGGCCGTGCATGGATTGAGCGCCTGCTGTTTATCAAGCACGCCTCTGCACACCCCATGCTAAGCTAAGCCTTCTCTCTCTCCACCCACCACCTCGGGAGAGGGGAAACTGAGGCTCAGAAGCCTGAGGGACTTAGCCAAGGCTGCAGAGCTCCTCAGTGGCAGAACTGAAAGGTTGTGTCCACCTGTGTCGTTCTCTCACCCTGGCATTTCCTGCCTCCCTCCTCTGGGTCCCCGATCCAAATCCCTCCCGGGGCCCATGTTCCCCAGCTTTGACATTTGAACCTCCTTCCTGCACAGGGTCAGGAGAGGTTCGGGGTCAGGGTTAGGGGTATAGCTCAATGCACAGTTCTCCCCAGCACCATTTCTCACTGTGCAGAAATGAAAGGAAAAATGTAGGCTTGGCCACCGACTCTTTCCTCTGAGGAGGGTGCCCTCTCTTCTATCCACCAGGCTCCTGACTAATGTGGGGCGAGATGCAGTGCAGGGACAGAAGGATGGAAAGAGACACTGAAGAAGAAAAGCCCAGGGCCGCTTTACCTGTTGGTCACCTCAGGGCGTCCATTCTGACTGTCCAGGAAAACCCAACGGGCTGCTGCGTTCTGCAGGGTCCCAGCCAGGACCAAGGTCAGCCAGAAGGGCCTGCAAGCAGGCAAGGGTAGCTGCTGTTAGTGGCCGCTGGGACAGGGTCCCCAGCCCCCTGCCCCATTCCCTCACCAGGAGGACTCCAGGAACCGAAGGAGCAGGAGGTTCCTGCTGTGCAGCACAGGCATGAACACCAGGAAGGTAAGGACTGTGGTCCCCAAGAAGAAGACAAGCTGCTGTACCAGGAGCCCTGCAGGACAGGGGAGGCAGAGGACAGACATGCTTCTGGTCCCCACCCTGCCACCCCCAGGAATCCAAAGCAGTTTGCAAACGGTATCTCCTCTGCTTGCTCCTGAGTCCCTGGAACTGAGACCCCTTTGGAAATCAGTGGCTGCTTTCCTGTGAGCAGATGCCAGAAGCTGTCGATGGCAACAGCCAGGCCACTTGATCAATGGGACATGGCCAAAGGCCTCGGGGGCACCTGGTCTATGATCCAAGAGACCCGGCATTCAGCTCCAGTGATGCCTCTGCTTCTTGTCACCCTTGTCCTCCTCCCCAGTGAGGTGGGGGCAGAGGCACTGAAAGTAGGGATGTGTATGCTGGCCCAGCCCCTCCCACAACACTGCAGTGCCCAAAGGGATAATCAGCAATTGCACAAGGAGGGTCCTCTAAAGTCACCTGGTCCAACTCTCTCAGGGAAGGGGCCTCTTTGCAGTCCCCAACAAGTCCATGCCTGCTTGCATACTCCCAGTGATGGAAGCCTTGCTACCTTACAGGAGCAAGAACGTGCCACCCTGAACTCACCACCTCCAGGCCAGGGCCACCCCTATAATCAAATCTGGTGGCAGCCAGCACTGGGGCCACATGAAGGGATCCCCTTCCCTGAGGGCTCATGCACCCTACTTCATTCGGAGGGCAGGCACCTTAAGAAGCTCACCAAGGCAGGTGAAGGCGGCCTGGTAGGCACAGAAGCTCATCCAGCAGAATATGACTCTTCGGGACGGGCGAGTGCTCCGTACTGGGGGACCCAGGTCCAGGGTGGCCCCACGGTGCAGAGCTTGAAGATTGGCCCTGGGGTGGGGGCGAGGGTGGCAGGGGCCTCAGGGGTGGTACACTCTCCCTAATCCCTCCCCAGCCCAGCCCCTGGCCACACTCCAGGGCTAATTGCCACCACAGCCACCAGCAGGGAAGCTCAGGGCCATGGGAGCCTGGAGAAGGCCACCCACTCAATCCGAGAGGGCTTCCTGGAAGAGGTGGTGTCCAGGCAGAGTCTTCATAGGATGTGGGGTAGGGGTATAAAGAGGGGAGGCAAAGCCAGGTGGAGGAGGGCTCAACCCAAGCCAAGTCAGAATAGCGGGCACCAGCAGTGATGATGAGGGTGACACAAGGTCACTGGTGCAGGAGGCAAGGCAGACAGGCTCTTGTCCCTCACAGGTGAACGCCAGCTGTCCTGTTTAACCCAGGACTTCTCTGGGCCCCCACAGGTCCCCATTTGGCCTCTCACCTGTGCGTGGCCAGCGAGCGGACCAGGAACAGGATGGTGAGCAAGCAGGACAGGGCCAGGGCGGAGGCGTAACACACTGAGGGCACAGGGCAGGGCAGGGCAGGGGTCTCAGAGCCTCTGATGCTGCCTGCCTGCACCCGGCCCACTCCAGGATCTAGGAGCATCTGAGGCCATGGGCCTGGCCCTCACTGCTGTGACCCCCAGTGAGTGATCCCCAGCCTGGAGTCTGACCCCCACTGCCCATTCCTGCTGTGTGGCCCCAGGAGGCACTGCCTCCCTTAGCCTCCATGTGCCCGTGTGCCATCTGTCTCCCAGGGTAAGGCCACCATCAGACCCCACAGTGCCTGCACTGGCCAAGCCTCTGCCAAGGAGCAGAGTGGTGGGTGACAGGCTCACGGGGCCCGGGCCACAGGCCTGGCCTCTGTCTACCTTTGTCTACTATCTGCCTACCTCCTACTTCTCTCTCCCTCTGTGGGCTGCCATCCTGGCACCCATAAAACCTGCTCTCTGGTCTGCTTCCTGTCCTCTCTGGGCTCTCTTGGTGGCTAGAGCTGCCTTCCCACACCCACAGGGCCTCCAGGATAAGGATGAAGCCTCAGTGAGACAGGGTCTCACTGTAGCTCAGGCAGCCTCAAACTCAAGTCTCCCAAGTGCTGGGATTCCAGGCATACACCACCATACCTGGCTAGTGGCACCCATTTTGCAGGTAGGGAAAGTGGAGGCGGCCCTAAGACGCCTGCTCCTTGGGCTAAGAGCAGACCCAAGGGCCCAAGCCCACTCTGACTGCAGCTTCAGCCCCTTCTCTAAGCCCAGCCAGAGTGAATAGCCCAGGGAGGGACAGAGGCCAGGAAAGGAGAAAAGGTCCCTGCCCTGCCCAACACATCCCAGACCAGCAGGCTCAGCGAGACACCCTGCCACTGCCCATGTCACTGTCCCCTATCCTCCTCCTCAGCCTTGGCCCCCATGGCCACAGACTCCTCTGTGGACACACCCGGTCAGAGACACTGGGCCTGAGGGTGGGGCCAACCCTGAAGGTGACAAGGGGTGGGGGCTGCCCAGACACAGTGCCTTAGGTCCCAGGAACCTGGACTGGAAGCCCCAGCTGCCCCAGCTGCCCCAGTTGCAATGAAACAGCAGAGCCCAGGGAGGGGAGGGCAGTGCCCAACGACCCGGCTCCCCCTGGCCAGGGACCCAGCCTGGCCCTCAACTCCCGTGCCCATCACAGTCCCCTCGGACCCCAGTGGCCTCACCTTCCAGTGCCCATAGATGGTGCCTCACCAGCTCTACCACCTCCTGCCGGTCCTTGGACAGCACCAGCCCAAAGCCAGCCAGCAGGTAGGATACGTCTGTGGTGAGGCCTGCCCGCACCTTCTGCAGGGTGGGCACCACGCTTGCCAGCAGCAGCAGAGCCACCTGCAGGAGCCAGAAAGCATCCTGTGCCAGAGCAGTGAGGCCACAGCCTGTGGTTCTCAGGGCAGCCTGTGTGCTCCCTAGTGCCCTCAGGTCCCAACACCACACAGTGCAGACAGAGACAGCATCAGCCGGAAGGGCTAGACGGAGCTTGGGCAGTACCCTGCAGGGCTCCCCTCCATCCATCAGTCTGTCACTTGCCTGCCATCTACCATCTGTCCATCATCTATATATATATGTATCATCTACCAATGTATCATCTACCATCGATCAGCTGTCATCTATGAGTTGGATTGGAGCCATTGCAGGCTTGGAGGCCACAGGCAGAGGCTTAGAGGTAGATGGCACTATGGGATACAGGACATACCTGATAAGTGGCGGTCCCCGTCAGGGTGGCTGAGATCACCAGCTTCAAGGGCAGGCGAAATCCTGGGGTCCCCAAAGAAAGGCATGTGGTGAGGAGCAGCACCAGACATAGCCCACCCCTGCAAGGGGCCCAGGGAAAGGCCAGGAAGCCAGGCCACCAGGACCAAGCCAGGGGATTTCACCAACCCAAGCTGACAGTTGTCCGTCCTGGCAATAAGGGACCCGTACCTGGCTGCGGGATATAGATGTATCTTCGAGAGTAGTCCCAGGCCCGGGACAGGAAGTCTTGCTTAGTGTGGTAGGAGCTGCAGAAAGACCAGCCAAGTAGGGTCACAGGAGAAGCCCCTGCCCTGGCTGAACCACCCCTCATCTTTCCCCACCTGGCCACCACCACCAGCCTCCCCTGGTGCTTGGGCCTCACCGGCCTCCTGGCTGCTTCCGGCACAGGAGGCTCCTCAGGTATTCCTTGGAGTCACGGCTCCACAGCCCCTGGGGACAGAGAGGGGTAGGGCCAGAGACCTGCCTGAGCTGTCCCCAGGCTCTGGGGACCAGTGGGAACACCAAGCAGGTCTCTGTGGGGACCTCCTGGCCATGCAGGGGTGGGGGTATACAAGGCTGACCTTTGACCTACAGCAACAAGACCCAGGTCTGGTAAAGGTGCTCTATTCTCTTCCAAAAATCTAAGACCCCTCAGCCTGCTCTCTGAGTCCCCCCGGGCTGGGACATTCCGCCCAAGATATCCTCAGCTCTGTCCTCCTTTTGTCCCACCTTCTGGCCCTTTCTCGTCGAGATAAGACTTGAGGAGCCTGGGTCCCATGAGCACACTGCTGACCAGGACATAGCACAGGGCGTTCCAGGGCAGGCCCCTGCCTCTCCTCCTGCTTCAACTCAGGGAGATCACAAGGGTGACCAGATTTGCCTGAGCCACATTCTAAGCCTTATGGCTCCTGCAAAATGGCACACGCCATGGGCAGGTGACCTGAGCCGTGATCCTGAGAACCCAGGCCGTGGCCACTCTTTGCCATGGAAACTCAGGTCCCAGGCCAGAGTGGGTCAGCTCAAGCTTGGCTGGGTTCTTTGTGGATTAGACCTCTTTGACCAAAGTCCAGAGACCGTTTATCCCTTTCAGGAGGACAGCTGAGGCGAGGGTCCTGGAAAGGGACACAGGGTCGCTGGAGGCAGTGACCGGCCTGGCATGTGGTATATCCTGAGCCATCGATGAAACTGAGGGGACACAGGGCTCCCTAGAGGAGCATGAGCAACAGGAGGGCAGGAAAGGTGGCACTCGGGATCCAAGGCCTCAGCCCCTTTGTCCCCAGCCTTTCTTGTCACCCTTTCTGCCCTTCGAGGGCCACTGGAGGGCCTTCTTCACCCTCCCCCACCAGCCAGGAAGCCACTGGCCTTCACTCACACCCACATGCCAGTGGTGCATTTCCCATGACACATTTCCCATGACACATTTCCCATGGTGCATTTCTGGTGGTAATGTCCAGGTCTGTTGTTCTGGTCATTGTTCCACCCCAGGAAGCTCCAGCAGGCCAGGTCGAGTCACTCAGCTCTGAGTCCCAGCACCAAGTCTAGGGCTTGACACATGTCAGGGGCCAACAGGGCTTCCTACGAAACTATAGTATCTTTCAGGAATCCTCTCTCAGCTCAGTGTGGTGGCGTGCACCTGTACTCCCGGTACTCAGGAGGCTGAGGCAGGAGGATGTTAAGAGTTCAGGGGCAGCCTGGGGCTACTTAGTGAGTTCAAGGCCAATGTGAACTACATAGTGAGACCCTGTCTCAATCCCCCCTAAAAATTGTAATAATCTTCTTTCTCCATGATGTATCCATTCATCCTCAGAATTTAAAATGTTTGCTGAGAATCTATCACGTGCTGTGCTCTACTCAGTAAACCAATGTGGGCATGAACAGAGCAGACACACAGCCTTCTCTGCCCTCTGTCATGCTCTGTCCTGCACCTGCAGGACAGTATCTGCTTCTTATACTCGTCCACTCCAGATCCTCCGTGTCCTTCAGGCTGCTGCTAAAATCCACCTCCTCTGAGAAGCCCTCCCCTGCTTTTGCCATTATTCAGCCACCTCCCACCTAGGGCCTGGTCAGGACACAGCTCTGCCTGGGGAGGGGGTCTGTGAGGTCAGCCAGCATCTCACCACAGCCATGTGCAGGGGCCACAGACATGGCAGACCCCACCCAGGCTGTCCCTTTACCTCAGAGTCTGTCCCTGTTCCGCAGCTGAAGCTCCGCACTAGCTGCACTGGGTACCAGAGGCTCAGGAAGCCAAGGCCCAGCAGGAGAGGCAGGGAGGCCAGGAGAGAGTAGTACTTGTAGATCTGGATAGACAGATAAGCAGACAGACAGATCTACCTCTAGCTTTCTTCCCCAACCACAACCAAATCCACCTCCCTTCCTATCTCATCCCCCAGTGACCCCAGGATGGACAGGAGAGCCACAGGAAGCTTCTAGTTCTCTGTCCCCACCCCGGGCCACCCCCATGAGTACACCTATTGCCCCTTCTCCTGACACCCACAGGCCTGGCAGAGCCAAAGGGAGACGACTACGCAATTCCACCCCTATTTCCAGGTTCCATTACCCAGTTTCCGGGTTCCTGTGCCCCAGCATGTGAGGACACAGACAGACACCCCAGAAAGTGGATGGCGGTCTAATTCCGTGTAGATATAGTTTGCAACCTGAGCATCAAGCTCTGAGACTGAATTCTCTGAACTCCTTCCCCACTCGGCACTGGCCACTCTGTCTCCCTTCCCTTCCCTTCCCTTCCCTTCCTTTCTTTTCCCTTCACATTCTGGCCTGACCAAGGGAGGCTGGGGTCAGTGATAGGAGTCATAAGCTTCCTCCTCCTTCCCTTTCTCCCCCTCAGCTGCCTTGTCCCCTGCTTCACCCCTAGAGGGGCCAAGCTTGGCACTGCCTATGCCTACAGGCATGGAACCCATGCATAAGGAAGGTGCTTGGCATATAAACAGAGATGAAACAGCAGTGCAAGTCCAAGCAGGCTGCTCTGTGCACCCCTCGCCCCGGGCCACTATGAGTCAGTGGTTACCTTGGGTGCCTGGGGACACTCAGCCCTCTGCCAGATGTGGACGCCCAAGTGGGCCCAGGACAGCACACTCCCAAGCAGGTGTGCGACTCCATGCCTGGCTGTGGCACAGGCGGCCAAAGGGTAGTACAGAGCAGGGTAGTAGAGCAGGGCCAGCATCTTCCAGGGCCCTGGGAGTTAAAATGGGCAGAGAGACAAGCGCTAGAGGGGCAGCCATGGGCCTCTCTCCCGTCTCCTTCATCCACACCCCTTAGCCAGCTCGGTGGCCAAGAGCTCTGAGTTCAAACCCAGGCTCTGCCTCGGACCAGCTCTGCTAGCTTGGGCAAGTTACCTCCTGGAGTCTCAGCTCCCCCATCTGTAAGATGAAATAATCACTGTGTTTTAGCAAGAACAGGATGGGATCTATACACTACAGTGCTTAGCACAGTAGCCACAGAAGGACTCTGTAACTCAGCTGCTGTTTCTGGTGGCTTTTTCTCTGGCCTCTGGTTCCCTCCACTGTAAAATGGGGTGGTATCCATACTTTCTGAGGTCACGCAGCAGGGCAGCTGTTCTCACCATCACCCCCTTGAGCCCACCCCTTCACCCAGCCCCAGGCTGAGGCTGCACGGTATACCTGGGCCAGGCGTGGAGGCCAGGGCCAGGAAGGGCAGTGGGTCCTCACTGGGGAGCAGAAGGCACAAGGCACTGAAGAGGACCATGAAGACAGCAGCAGGCACGGGCGAGGGTCTGTGCCCAGCCAGGAAATCCACAGGGCTGACAGAGACGGGGACATGTCAGGAGGGGGTCATCAATGCTTAGGGATCACCCTCAGGCCGTGTCAAGGAACCAGGGAAATGGCGACCACCTGCCCTTCCATCTATTCATCTGGAGGTGTTTGTGCAGCACCTCCATCTCCTGGCTCTCTCTGGGCTGTGCGTGGGAAGGGACAACACCCCCAGCGGGGACAAGCCCCAGCAGCAGCCCTGTTCCCTCCACCCTCCAGGAAGCTCCAGGAAACTCGGCCTCCACACTACCCCGCTGTCTGTGTGGGCTGGCAGGGCTTCAGAGCGCTTGGAGCCACAACATCCTTGTGTAACAGCCGCCGCCCCGCCTGGGCGGGGACCCGGGCCCGGCAGACAGCACGCATGGCTGCCCTAGCATTGACCCCGGCCTCGTGGCTCTTGTCCAGCTCTTCCCCCGGCTCCTTGCTCAGCCAGAGACCCCCTGCCGGGTCCCCACAAAACTCAGCCTGGTCTACACTCAGGCTCCACTACCACCTCCCCCAACCCTGTGGTGTCCCCTGCACCCGCCTGCCCTGGGCTCTGAGATAACACAGCTAGAGGAGAAAGTTCCACTGCAGGGAAGGTCAGTCCCTCTCTCCTGAGTCAGGCAGGGTCCCCAGACACCCTCAGGGATAGGAGGGTCAGGACAGCATCAGGTGCTGGTTACGGCAGGCAGTGAAACACTCAGGGCTACCCGAGTTTAACGTCAGGCCAGATCTGCTCCTTAGCAGGTCCCCTTCCCGCACTGGGGCTTCTGACTGCAACGGGTCCTGGTGGAGGTGGGCAGAGCCCCAGTCAAGGGATGAGTGTCACTGACTCAGAGCTGGTTGCTAATACCCAACATGACCCACTCTCCCAGAGGGCCCTGAGCAAAGGAACCCAGGCCCAGCACTAACCTGGGCAGACTAGGCCTTCCTCGCCGACAGCCTGGCCTGAGACGGCGGTGCAACACCAGCCAGGCCAGCAGCAACAGGACAAGCATCTGGAAGGAAAGGGCGGAAGAGACTGGGGGCCCCAGGCCTTGGCCCCAGTCAGCCCCAGAGCACCCGATACCCACCCAGTGCCCACGCTGTGACATCTTGGGATGCCATCTTGGCCTTGGCCTACGCCCAGCTTGGATGCCCACCTGAGGCCACCCCCAATACTCACTCCTAGGGATCTGGGGGCCCCTGCACCAGTCCCTGCGCCCAGGTGGGCACACATGGCAGACCACCTGGACTCACCGACAGCACAGCCAGACAGGCATGGCACAGGGCAGGCGGCACACTGGGCTGGCAGGAGGGCACCTCCCTGTGGGGCAAAGGAAGGCTGGCTCAGCCTGTGGGCCCTGGTGTGCTGCTGGGTCTGGGGCCGAGGCTATGTACACTGCAGCTCCACCCAGCATCTCCCTCAACCTTCTGCCTTCTCCTACATAGCTGCCCAGTTCTCAGTTCTTCCTGTGCTAAGCACTGGGGCTCTGGGGATTAGGGCTGGAGACTGCAGGCTCCCAGGGAAGCCACCCTGGCTGAAGCATCTTGGATTCACCCTACTTGGTCCTGGGATTCACTCCCTACTTGTGGGACTCTCAGAGTGGGTGCCTTTTGGGGATCTGGTTCTCCAAGAGTGAGAACCTCACTTCCTTAGAGCCCCTCAGCCTACATCGCCTCAGGCCACCAGGGAGGGGCCAGGTCCTGCTCAGCCCTGTCCTGCCAGGCCTAGCCAGGTAAGGACCCGGCACACTGTCCCTGGAGCAGCTGGACCATTTCCCCAAGGCCTCTGCTCCAAACCAGGAGCCACACCCTAAGCATCCTCTCCAGGGCCCTGAAGTCCTATGTTTGGGTGACCACTCGTGGACTCCTGCTTTGTGTTATGGGACAGACAAGGACATTGCCACAGGGAGCAGGAGGCTCCATGCCAGGAAAGGCACAGGATGGGTAAAGGGTCAGGAGGAGAGGTGGATTCTGATTTGAGTGTGGGCTAGGGTTGGCATCTCTCTGGAAAAAGAAGGGGAAAGGAAGCCCTGAGGAAGAAGAAGTGTCAGAGAGGACAAGGGGCAGGTGGGAGACAGGGTAGCTGGCACCAGGTTTGATGGTGGCCCAGAGGTGGGGCTCGGCCAGGTTGGAGGAGGTGAGGGGAGCCCTGTGAGCATTAGGGTGTCGGAGCAGGGCCATGTTCCAGTATTGGGTAGGTTTCTGTGGCTGAGCCCACCCTAGCCACAGTCACCAGTGCCGATCAACCCCAGCTCCAGCCCAGGGTGCAGTGGACCACTATCTGGAGCCCCTCACACCCCTAACACACCACATCCCCAGAGTGTCTGACTCACAGGGAGAGAGGTGAGCCCAAGTTCACAGCCTTGGGATTCCCCTACCCTCCCAGGTTCCCACTCCTCATTTGGGGTAGAGGTGAGTGGGAGGATTAGCAAGTATCTCTTCTTGGTTTTGCTAAATAAGTAGAATCAAACCACCTTCTTTTCCTACAGACACTGTGTCCCACGGTGGGAGAAGGGGGCTGCAAATTCCAGTTGCCACCCACATGAGGGGCTGCACCTCCAGCATCCCTAGCACCGAGGCCCTACCATGCCCCCAAATTTATTTGGAGACTGTATCTCTGGCCACAGAGCTGGCTGCAGGTGCCTGGCCCCCAGCCAGTGCCCAGGCCCTGGCCCTCCCAAGGACATGGCTTCTGGTGAGAGCTCAGCCAGGTCAGGCTCTCAGTCCTCCAGGGGCTCCCAGAGCCTTCCCCAGCCCATACACACACACACACACATACAGGTGGTCAGAACCCCAAGTCTTCCAAGCAACAGTGCTTCCCCTAGGCCTGGGTGGGGCCTCTGTCCCTGCTGGGTGACCCAGGCCTGACCAGGCTGCAGCCCCAGCCCTGAGGAGGTGCATGAGCATTTTTCCTTCTCTAGTTTCAAGTTTTAATGGAGAACAGATGTGCACACATCTGGCTTAGCGCATGCACGCACACACACACACATATGCACACATGCACACACACATGGGTACACACAAAGACATACAGTCTCGCCTTTCCAGTCCCCCAAACCCTCAGACAGAGCAGGGAGGCAGGGGATGGCCAGGGTCAACTGGGGAGAACTGGACTCTGGGTCTCATACAGCTGGCCAACCCTGGCAGCAGGTGGGGGACACAGAAAGGCCCACCTCTTCCGCCAGGGTACCCAGGTTAAACCACGATGAAAAGGACCCGGGCCAGGGTGAGCTGGCTGCCTGCCTCCCTCCGCACCTTCCCCTGGCCCTAGCACCTTTTCCACAGAAACTGGACCTGTGCATCTCCCTCCTGAGACTTCAGCGGTCCAAAGATAACAGAGCGGCAGAGTTTGCCCACGAGTCCACCCCAAACCCCCTCCTTTCATCCTGGTTCTCTGCCTCTCCACCCTCCCAGCAGGCCCAGAAAACCTGACACCTGTAAAGCCCTTCTAGCCTCCTCTCTGTGCTCCTCCCTGCTAGCTGCTGGCCAAGCCCCCCGGAGCACCCCAGACTTGCAAGGCCAGGGCACCCAGTGCTGTCCACCAGCCTGGCCCAGATCCTCCCAACTCAAGCATTTTAACAGAAGGGCTGAGGCTGTTAAGAACTGGATGCAGACTGAAGTCCAGAGAGGCTGTGGCTTGTCTAGGGTCACACAGCAAAGGAATAGCAAAGCCAGTCCTTGCCAGGGGTCTGTGCCCCACATCCCACTGATGGCCGGCAGAATGGGACTGCCACACTCACCCCTCTGGCTGGAGCTCCTTGTTCCCCTGGGGCTCATCAATGTACCAGCTGCTGTAGTCATCTGCACCCCCTGAAGAGGTCTGGTTCCCTGCTGCCTGGGACAAGGACATTCTTGGGCCTTTCTCCTTTGACCCCCAGACAAGAAAAGGAAGAAAAAAAAGGGAAAAAAATGTGAAAAGAGGCTTAAAAAAAAAAAAAAAGAAAGGAAAAACTCAAACAAAGAGAGATTTCTTTTTAATCCTGAAGGTTACTTTCTTGCTTTTGGCTCTCTGGGAAAAGCCAGCCTGGGACTGCAGGCCTGGGAAGGCTGGCACAGGAGGAGGGGAAGGGCTTCTCCTGTCCCCTCCTGTCCCTTCCCACCCAATCCTGCCTGGCCCACAGAAACAGTTATCTGGGTACACTCCTCAGGGTCCCTGAGTTCTGGCTACAGCACTTATCTGGCTGTCTGAACACTCCAAAGACCGCTTGCGAAGATGTTCTGGGTACACAAGCCCCAGAGACCCCCTTCCTTCCCCGCCCATCCCACAGATGGACCCACGGGCACGGCCAAAGGGAGGACCGGAGAGGAAGGAGCTGTGCAGATGAAAGGGTGGGCGGGGGCGGGCGGCTCCACTCCGTCTGCCCAGTCAGGCCCTCCCAGCTGGGCTCCCACCCCTCCTACCCTCAGGGTCCAGCCCGACCTCCCACCTTTTGCCCGTTGGCCCTGGAGACCCACCCCGGCCTCCACTGTCCTGTGTGACCCCTGGAGCCTCGGTGACAGCACACCATTGTCCTTGGTGAAGCCCCCAAGGAGAAGCCCTGCAGGGCATGGCCAAGAGGAGCGGCACCTGACCACGGGGCACACGTACCTGCCCTCAGCACCCGCCTCAGAAGCCCTGCACCTCTGCCCACCACATCTGTAGAGCTGGGGGTGGCAGCAGCCCACAAAGACAGAGGGGAGCTGGGCCGCCTCCTGGGGCTTCCAGGAAGGAGGCCACATGCGTCTCACTGGTGGAACCTTTTTGTTCCTACAACTTGATTTCACAAGAAGATAACTCACTCTCACAGGCGGAAATGAGTCCTTTGAACACGAACCAGACCTATGGGCAGGCAAGTAGTACCCTGCCTCCTGCTGATCCTCCTGCCTGGGCCTGGGTTCCTCTTTCCTCCTCCCGGGGTAGCTGGACTTCTGGCCACCCAGGATGGGAGAGGCAGAGAAAGTTCTCAGCCATGTCCCAGAGTGGGGGTGTAGCTCCCTGAAACTTTGAGGGTCTCATCCTTTCAGTACTTCATGGTGATGGGCAATATGCATTTGTTCCTTCTTTCTACAGAAACTCAGGGAATACCTACTATGAGCTGATACCTACTGCGTGCCCACTATGTTCCCTGGGGCTGGGAAGCATACAGTTCCAGGGAGGAGGGCACTCCCTGAGTGATAAGCAAATTCCAGAGCCTGAGGGTGCCCCCACACACACACCTCAGAGGGAGACAAATCAGCTCTCTGACTCTGAGGGAGCCTGAGCTTTAGGAGGACGAGGCAGGAGCTCACCCCAGGGTCAGGGGGTGATAGTTGTACTCAGGCTTGGGTCCCCAGAAGGCTGCACTCTGCCTCTCCTTCCTGTGAGCACAGGGCCTGCTCTGGGGTCCAAGGGATTTTGGAAATTGAGTTTGGCAAAGGCCTGGTTTGTTTAGGTGACTGTCATCTGCTCACAGGCCCATCCTGTAAGGAAGATGTCACCAGCCAGGCTTTCTAGAGCCTGCTGCTCCATCACCACAGCCCCTGCGCCTTTCACTGCTCAGGGGTTTCAGAACCTCAGCTTGGGAGCAATCTTATCCGATTTAAATCCCCCTCACAAGACTCTAACAACTGGAGCCTCATCCTTGATGGGGGCTCACTCCCCACAGAGGCAGAGCTGTTGGGGTTGAGACTCTGTCCCTCACCCCATGGGAACCATGTCCTGCCCAAATCTGCCTCCCCTGGCTGGTTTGTTCATTCATTCAACAAATCTTCTGTGCCAGGTAATGCTGCTGCCATGGCAGAAGACAAGCCCTGCTCCTCAGGGGGACTTAACAGGTAATGGTGTGGAGGGGACAAACCCACGCCCTATGTGCTGAGAGGGACATGAAGAGGGGAGAAAAGGGCAGAATTGGAGTTGGCTGTTCTAGATAGGTGGACAGGGAAGGCTGCTCTGGGAGGTGATGCTTTGGCTTATATCTGGAGGGAGAGAGACATGGAAGGAGCAGGGAAGAAGAGGCTCCTTCAGCCTTCGAGGTGCAGCCAGACCAGAAAGGCCCCCTAAATCCAGGAATAATCCCTCCCTGCTCTGAACTAAAAAAAAGGACTTCCTGTGGATACTGTCCCCACTCCTGTGACCCCTCATGAGTCCAAGATCCAAGGTGCCACCTCTGTTCTCACTGGGGAGATGGAGGTGGGTACCTTGGGCTGACCAAGTGGAGCAGGTAGGGAGGTGGGGCCTGGCAGGGAAGCAGCTCTCTGAGTCTGAGCCCTGGGCTGGCTCTGGCCCTGTGAGTCTCTTCAAGATTCCTCTATTGTGGGTACCCACACACACACACACTCACTCACCCTGTCCTCCCTCAGTGACTTCACAGCTCAAGAATGCAGAGCCAGCATACCAGACCTAGTCATAGCAAGCAGATCAAAGCCACAGAGTTGGCCAGGGTGCCCAGGTGCCCACTGCCTTCTGCCTGCCCCTCTGCCCCCAGCTCCACCCCCTCTGTGGGGGCAGGGATCGGCCCAGGTAAGGATCCATGGGTGCTGGGTGGCCACATAGCTCCAGCTGGGAAGCAGACCCCACTTCTTGAGGCTGGGGTGCCCATCTGCAAATGGCAACCTGGCTCAAGGATGTCAGGAAGGAGGCAGCTGGCAGGGAGCAGCACTGGGGAGAGAAAGACAGGAAGGCTGCACCCCCAGAGGACTTCTCCAAAGGCCTGGGCAGCAGGGTCATGGGCACTGGTGCCCACAAGGGTCAGTGGGAAGCAGCTCTGCTATCAGTGGAGGGCTGGAAAGTAGGGACTCTTGGGGACACCTGCAGAGGCTCAGAGGAGTGGAGGGTGAGGGAGTGAGGACAAGGCTTGGGCAATCTTGGAGCCTTCCTGGAGGAGGGGGTGCAGAGCAGGGCTTTGGGGACAGAGAGGGCCAGGAACAGTAAGCAGCAAGAATGAAGTCTCATCATCTCAGGAGAGCACAGATGGGATGTGCTAAAGGAAAGAAGCGAGAAGGGCAGGGCAGGGCTGGGCCACCGTCCTGCAGGGCCAGCACAAGCCCTGGGGCAGTCTGAGGCAGGGGATGCCAATATCCCTGGACCATCCTGGGCCAGCAGAGCTCCCCCTCTGCATGGCTGGGATGGCTAAGCCCTGCGCCCTGTGAGAGGGAGGAGTCCTCAAATGTGCACTTAGCCAATGAAGGCCATCTGCCATCTGGCCCTGGCATAGGGTGCCGCCCCCAGGCTGCAGCTGGCCCATGAAGCCCTGGGACAGGGCTTCCTTCCTCTCTGTGTTTTTGTTCAAGTTGACTAAACCCAAGGAATGCCTGTGTCCAGGGACAGAGGCCATGTGTGTGCCCTCAGCTGTCTGTGGTCTTCAAACCCTTCCAGGCCAAAGAGCTAAGCCCAGAGAAGGCCAGCAACATCCCTAGGATCTCAGAAACACCCCATGGACTCCCCATGTCCAGGGCATCTGCAGGAGCTCAGAAAATTCCCAGAACTTCAGTGACAACCCAGACTCCTCCAGAACTTCCACGTGGCCCCCAGAAAGCCTCAGAACTGCAGAAACCCCATAGAACCGCTGCCACACTGAGGGACCTCGGCGACATGGGACACGGAGATGCTGGCAAATCAAGCCTGGGTTACAGCAAGATGGTCCACACCACAGTGAGCAGGTTCCACATCTGTCACTGTCCAGCCTCCCACCCCAGCCCCAGCTCTGAGTCCAGCAGCACACCACACAGTACCCTGACACCCGACACTCAGCAATACCCCAACCCCATAGTGCAGCACTGTGCAGCAGGGGGCTGCCGGCCAGCAGCAGGATGAGGAGGACCAGACCTGCATGCCTGCCTGAGCAGCCTGGGGACCCTTGCAGCCCATGGGCAAGTAGCCAAAGCAGGTCAGCCCCAGGCAGGCAGAGGGATCAGGGGCTGCCCACGTGTGCATACACACTCATGCACATGCACACACATGCACATGTACACTCCAAACTGCCCAGCATGCACAAGGCTTAACTCTGGCCCACCTAGTAGTCTGGCCCCCCTGCAGTGGCCTGGGGAGCAAGGCTACTGGGCTCACAGAAGAAAGGTGTGGGTGTCTGTCACCCTCCTGTCTCCATTGTAGTCCAGAACACTGAGAGCATCTGTGATGTGTTCATCCCAGGATTCTTGTGGTCCTGCACCAGCAGCATCACCCTGACAGGAGGGACTTAGGCCACCCTGCCCTGGGAGGAGGGTGGACACTGTGGAGAGGAGAAGGAGGAGGAAGAGGAAGAGGAGGAAGAGAAGGAGGAGGAAGAGGATGAAGAGGAAGAAGGTGACCTGGTGTTCCAGGGAGTACTGTGCTCTTCCTTCCTTTTCCTTCCCTTCCCAGAGGGCTGTGCTAGAACCAGCTTGGTGGAAGGAAGGTAGGGAGGCAGATTTCAGCTCAGGACAAAGGCAGCTTTCTTGCTCTCATGGAGTAGTAAGATTCCCTTCCTGGGAGGCAGTCAAGAAAAGGTGACATCCAGGTGCCCTGGCCAAAAGGGTGTGAGGACTTCCCAGCTGTGAGGAGCCCAGTTCTCCTTTCACAGCTCACCCTCCCTAGGGCGGCACCACCACAACCTGGCCTTGGAAAGCAGGCTTTGTGCTGGGTGCATCCCTGCCGACACAGGACAACCTCATGCCACAGCAGTGAGGCCCCCCTCAGAGGTAACTTTTGACTTCCCTGCCCTTCAGAGGCCATATTTGCTCCCTCAACCCACTGTTCACCCTGTCCTGCCTCTTCTGGCCTCGGTGCCCGCTCTGCCCCCACCCCATCTTCTCCTGCTCCCACCTGTCCAGGTCCTACCTGGTCTTTCAGTTTGGCTCCAACCCACCTCCATCAGGGCTCTGTCAGCCTCTCACCTTGTGCCTCTTCCTTGTCCTCTACTGATTACTCTG